ATTCTAGAGCACCAATACATCTCTATTGGAATTATTTGTGAACTTGTTTTTTTTTTTTATTCCTTTGTTTTTCTTTAGACTATCTATTTTTCTAGTATCCTCTCTCCTCTCTTTTTCTCTAAATGAAGGTCTCTTGCTTATGTTTTTGCCTCAACTACAAGTAGTCTGACTATGGAGATTATGTTGGCAACAAGAGCAATATATGGTTAGAAGCAGTTTTTCCCATGCGTATTTTCTGATTCTGTGAGCATGCATTAGAAGATTGAGACAGGATGGGTTCAAAGATAATGATTAAGAGTTTTGGGGGAAACTAATTCAACAGAAATCAGTTTCATTTTTGTATCAGGGGTAACGGAATTAACGAGCTGACTGACTTGCTAATAGGCCACGGTAAGCACAGGAGAAGTGGGGCAGGCCGATGTTCTCATTGCTCTTAGCACGACACGGTGAGTAGATGATTCAGGAGATGATGGTGAATTGCAAGATTAAAATGCCTACAAGAACTTCAGGTCAAAAGAGATATTACCAGACATTAATACTAGACAGATAGCCACAGAAGAATAGTTAAACCAACACAGAAACCAACAAAGAAAGAAAGAATCCGAGCGCTCATGCACTTGTTCAAAGAGTAAAATTAGTGGATTAATTAACTTATATCTTAATTGTGCAAGCCATAGGGAAAAGATATTTGTGTAATATTAAAGCATGTACAGCACACATTTAATGAACGTGAGTTACAAACTGCAGTTAGTGTGGACCCCAGTTTGGTAGTAAAATAATAAACCCACTGCCAAATACTAGTAAAATAATAGACCCACTGCAAAGTACTAGTAGAACAATAGACCCACTACCAAGTACTAGTAGAACAATAGACCCACTGCCAAATACTAGTAAAATAATAGGCCCACTGCAAAGTACTAGTAGAACAATAGACCTACTGCCAAGTACTAGTAGAACAATAGACCCGCTGCCAGGTACTAGTAGAACAATAAACCCACTGCAAAGTACTAGTAAAATAATAGACCCACTGCAAAGTACTAGTAGAACAGGCCCACTGCCAGGTACTAGTAGAACAATAGACCCACTGCCAGGTACTAGTAGAACAACAGACGTACTGCCAAGTACTAGTAGAACAACAGACCCACTGCCAAGTACCAGTAGAACAATAGACCCACTGCCAAGTACTAGTAAAATGCGTCTAATAAGGAGTTTGCTGAAATCGGGTGTGTTGAGCCTAGCCTAGCTGTAAACCACATTGCAATATGCCAACCACCCCTTTAATGGTGAACACAGGAAAAAAAATTCTTTTTCTTTGCGTTTGCTATCGTATGCTCAGATTCGACAGTCAGGTGGGTTGCCTCTATGAACTCTTATGTCAGCAGCAGGTCCTTCATGGCTCCCTATAGCTTGCTCTGCACACTTTGCTCTTGATGAGGTCAAGTGTTTTTGTTTTTTTCGAAATTGTAAGTAGAGTGGGCGGGTCTGCAGAATGTGCTCAGGTGTTTGTGGTCCTGTCTGACCGACACTCTGGTTACTGTACTGTCTTTATTTTATGCATGTGGTAGTTGAACCTGCAGTGTCCTGTTCATAAACTGAAAATTGTTGCCTTCTGTTGAATTTTCTGATAGGGTCTTGTGGATGTTTACTGCTGGTTTGTTCTCTCCACAATTCCTTGTGTTTTCCCTTGATAAGTGTTTTGATTTCTGGTAATGAGAATGAATGGGTGTTTTCGACATGCATAGTTAGCATACATATTTATATGTTGACCCGGAAAAAAGGGGGGTGGAGGGGGGGGGGGGCTTTGAACATTCCCCTAGTGTCATGACATCATCTCTATTAACCAATAGACTCAGGAATCAAGTAAGAACAAAGAAGAAAATGTGTGCTGGTAGAACTATGTCAGCAGAATACAGCAGCAATGGCTCTAAAATCGCATTGGATATTGCAGCAATGGTTCTGAAATATTGTGCTACCGGTGCCAAACATGGACCTTTACTACAAATAATCTGCAGAAGATCGTAACAACAGAAATGAGATGTCGTAGGAGAGCTGCCGGTGTGACAAGAAGAGATAGAATCGAGAATAAAGAAATACATTAAAAGAAGACTGAGACTGGAACCAGTCATACAATTCATTAAAGAACAACAAATGAGATGGTTTGGCCACCTGACGAGAATGCCCTGGTACCAACTGCCACAGAGGGCCACGCTGAAGAAATATAATGAACACAGAGCAAGGGGAAGACCACGCAAGACATGGGGCGACACCATCATGAGCAACCTAGCAGAAATGAAGACCAACTTGTACAATACATTTGAAATAAAGCGCACAAAGATCCTTACATCTCACCCCAACACCTTGATGAGGTAAATTATGGAAGAGAAATAAAAGGTTCTGAAATCGAAACGGATTTTGTAGCAATGGTGCTGAAATCGAACTGGATATTGCAGTATTGTCCTGAAATCGCAATCACTTATTGTGAAGACTATTTTGAGCGTGAGCGGGTCTTGCTAGTCACACTTGCCATGTGTTGTGATTGTCAGCCTCCTGGGAAGTGCTAAGAGTCGCAGGCTGATAAGGTGAATGCCAGAAGCAGGAAATACCGTTATAAGCTTAATGTGTGATTTAGAGAACTGGCTGCGTGCAGAGTGGCAAGCATCTGATTCAGTACGCAGCGTTTCGCAAAACCACCTTCATTTTTGTTTCAGAGTATGTTGGTGTGAAAGGTAATGAGAGAGCAGACACCATGGCTGGCAGTGCTACTATCACGAAGGAGCCCTCTATAAGCAGGCACTGCCATGCGAGAGATTGAACGCTGTGAGGCTTTCAGTTTCGTGGACAATGATTTTTCACTACATAGACGACATACTCTGAGTGTACCAGTTGGCACCACGAGACAGAAAAACCATACGGGAGCCACCCGTTATTACATCAACCAGAACACAATGGAAGTTGATAGCTTAAAAACCATACGGGAGCCACCCGTTATTACATCAACCAGAACACAATGGAAGTTGTTAGCTTAAAAACTATACGGGAGCCACCCGTTATTACATCAACCAGAACACAATGGAAGTTGTTAGCTTAAAAACTATTGGAGACAAACTCAGGAGGAGATCGGAGCACTGATGTTCATGTCGGATGTGCATTGAAGGTGATCTCTTAAATGAGCAATGAACAAGAGTGGCAAGCATACCCAGTCTGGTATAACCGTGACCTACTTCAGATCTAGACCTAAAGTAGGTCATGGCATAATCCATCATTGTGTGTGGGTAAGCAGAGCATATAAATTGTGCTAAATTCTTAACCCTAAACATGGTGGAGAATTGGCTCATAAAAAGCATTCTGTCCAAAAAGTGGAGGCCATGTTAAAAAGCATGGTGACGTGGGGGGAAACTGTTTTTTATTTTGGGGGAGGGTGTACAGTTTCCGGAAAAAATTGGCAGAGGCAGACCTCTGCAAAAGCGGATAGAAGATACCGAAGATGCATTGGTTATGAAAGCACACAGGGTTGGTGAATTGGCTACAGACAGCGATTTTCAGGCGGGCTGTGACAAGAGCCACATTCTGTAAAGAATCTGATGATGATAAAGCACTTGGGGGTCTTTGAACCTGAGGAATTAAGACCCATGGCTAGTGCTGTCGCCACGGACTGTGCAGGTTTAGGATTTTACTTTTGCAGAATAAAATCCACAACATTAACGAGGATTCGAAAGAGTGTTTCCCACATGAAAGCCTTGCATTCTTAACCGCTCAGACAGCCGCTCTTCAACCTTTGTTATACAATCCCCGGGCAATTGTAACAGTCTTTTTCTTCAGCATTCCGAGCTCTTGAGGTTCATTACTGCAGATGTCACCCGCCTCAATTCATCTCTGTGATTATTCCTCTTTTTCCAGTTGGTGACCCCAAGCTATGTTACGTTATTGCACACAAGGCATTCCTAGGGTAAGTAAAAAGTAAAGGACCCTTTTCCACCCCTTTCAGGTGTATTGAGTATATACTATATTTTATATACCAAACGGCACTTGGTGGGTGATGTGGTCAGCATCACGCCGGCCGCCTCTACTTCCCAGGACTGCACCTGGTACCCACTCAAGGCTGAGAGCCAATGTCATTTTTGACAAAAGTAGGGCCACCGCCAAGAACCGAACCCTCGACCTTCAGATCCGCAGACGAGCGTCTAGCCGCTAGACCAAGTCAGCTTCCCTTTCCTATGGTACCTCTTCTTATTGCTCCAATGATAGGTTAGAAGACGGTATAGGCGTGCTTTACCCAGTTTTACTCCCAGGTCATCTTTACGGGTAGCTGAGTGAATTACAAAAGACAGTGATGTTGATACTTACTAGAGACAACGTTGCAAATACAGATCTTCATCTTAAGCGAACGAAAGAAGAAAAATAAGAAATCCGGTCGTCAAGTGTTTGCAGATCTGCCTTATATTATCTCTCCGCAATCTATTTGGTCTGCCTTGTGGTCTGGTAAGACCATTCGACTCCCTTGTGTACACAGTTATTGCCTCTCTGACATATGATTTTCTCTCAATATGCCCCAGCCATTTCAGTCTATAAGCCTAATGATGCCAGTGATCAATCGAGATTTTAAACAGATTGTGAATTCCGTTGATCTCACTCTCCTTTCCCCGCTGTTTGCATCTTTGACAAGTTCAAAGAATAGACATTTGTTGCAATACTCTGTTTTTAAAAACTGTAATAAGGTTCATCTCTTTTAGTCGTGCTCCATATTTCAGAGCTATCTAAAACAAGGAAGAAATCTTATTGATTATAACATCAGTGTTATATCGCGAAAGGAAACAAGCACGTTGTTAACCAACAACGGAGTTACATTGTCTGCATCGCGAGCGGTTCCGTTTGATTGACTTCTGCCACTCAAACTCAAACAACAGAACTTTACAGAACCCGGGTTGGTAGTTGTTCTTGAGTTCTGGGTGCTAGTTTCAAACGTTAGGGGTGGTTTACAGTCTAGACTGAGCAATTAAATCATGGAAATGGATGTTTCTTCGTTTTCGACTAGTTCCGTAGCGCAGTCAGATAGCCGCCCGACCAAATTTCTGCGTCCGTTCCACTCAATTAGAAATATTTACGAACCCAGAACGATACTGGTAGGTAGTTTATTTATTAGTATTACTAGTTAGTACTTTACTTTAGTCTTATCTTATGACTTATGTTTCAGATTTTCAGTTAATAAATACTATTAGTATACCTATTGTAGCCTGTCTTTGATTCCTGAAATCATCTCAGTTATAATTATATTATCAGTGTAACTTGTTTTTTTTTCCGCGTACCAAACAAGATTCAGTTCACCGATTATTTGAAATCAAAGAGAAGTTAGGTTAGATATGCTACAAATAGTAATTTGTACAATAGTGTTGATTAAAGAAGATGGTATCAGCTATCAGTGATAGTATCACAGAGCATACATCATATTTAGTGTATCCTTTGCAATTCACAGGTGCTAGCAGCAGAAAACTGCCTGAATGTTCCAGAGGATCTGAAAACATTTACAGAGGGTGACAATGGTGTTCATGTGTAAGCCATTTTTTGTTTAGCTCTCTTATGTCAGGGATCATGTTAATTCCACGCTGACTTAAAGAAAACAAGTTTGTGTACTTGTCAGTATAATATTTATACTATAAATATGTGCTTCACAACTAGCAACTACTTCTTGATGATTGATGACAAATTTTTTTGGGGCGTGTGAGGCTCATGTGTCTAGTTTTAGTGCATAACAATATGCTGATATCAGATAAATAAAATATATATGAAATAATATATGCGCAAAATTTTTTTTTCAAAAAGACACTCCTGTACATGGGGGGGGGGGGGGGTAAGCCTCCATGTTCCGGCGCCCCTGGTCATTGTTAGAGGGATGAGAAAAGCTTGGCGGTAAAAAAGGATGAAATACTATTACTGTCTTCCTAGATAGGTACTGCTTCTTCTTTCTTGTATGCAGAGCTTGTGGCTGTACTGGAAATCTGGAAAAATCCTTGAAAATAACAAAATAAAAAGTTAATGAATTTGGCAATGAGCCCTGTGTATAAACATATGTTGTTGTTTGTTTGTTTCTTGTGTTTAATGGTAGATAAAAGTGGTAATGTTTCTTTCTTGTAACAAGGAAGAAACAGTTGCAAAAACAAAAGAACAAAAAGTTAAAATTGTGAGTGAAGAAGATTGACCATGGCCTCTATTTATTCCCTTTGGTTTGATCTCTCTCGTCAGAACAGCTGGCCAGGTGTCAAGATCGTCATACAAAGCCCAAACTCTGTAGCTCCTGTGAGGATCTCAGTAATAATTGCACTTGTGAACTGTTTATGTATTTTTGCTATATGAGCATAACATGATAGAAATGCAGTTGGTGTGTGAAGAATGAATGTCTAGAGGGACCAAATGTAAGATGAGCTTCCATTGAACTGCAGAGCTTCATTCATTTTTTTTTTTTCTAACTTTCATCCCAGCATCCGATGCACTTCTAGCATCTCACCTTTGTCGGTGCATTTTCTGGATCTCAATGTCACCGTGAACTCTATAGGCCTCAGCAACTCGGTGTACTATAAGCCTACTGATTCCCATGCTTTTCTTCTCTACACATCCTCCCATCTCTCTTCCTGCAAGGACTCAATTCCTTTCTCCCAACTTCTACACCTCCGTGTCAGGAGACTATCATGCCGAGGCTCTTGTTTCCAAGCTTAAACGTCACCACAACATCCGCACCAACAATATTTTCCTCAGGCATCTCTCCATCCTTGAAGCCAACCCTACTGGCCTACAGGCATGATCGTAACCTCAATGACATTCTAGTCAAGAGTTGGTTACGTCCCGCGTTTGAGTCCCACTTCAGCACGGTCTCTTGCCACAGACCTGTATGCAGGACCTGTCCATATGTGGTCCAGGGGACTAGTCCAGAATTTCCGAACGCCCCTTCCACATACGTGAAGCATTCTATTGCACCAACCGCAATGTCATTTATACCGTCAACTGCAAGAGATGTGGCATGAAATACATTGGTGAAATGGGTCTACGGCCATTAAATCTAGCCACTGCAGCGACAGAGTCTGCAAGTCTCTTGAAAATCGCTTTACTTACACTTTGGGTACTTTAACACCTTCCGGACTAAATTACCTACACAGTTTCATTTAAACTCCTAGGAGATTGAACTGCCCACACATTTTTATCTCAAGCCCCCTGGTTATGGCCCCTGGTACTCCATAGGAGGTATTTATTCCCCTGGCCCACGCGTGTCGGCAAACTGCTGAGAAGTCTCGACCCAGCTGCTTCGAGATACCAAGTGATTTTGTGTATTTGTGTGGTATTGTTTGATTTGTGTATGTGCTGATGAAAGCTTCATAGCCGCAGCGTTCACGTTTTGTTTGTATTTGTTATATTGTGAAGCTTGCTAATATACTTTCGTTCGGTTTTATATCTTTTCTTGACTGTTCAGAAGTAATAGCAAAGTGCTGAATGTAAAAACTGCCTACTAAAATCACACAAAAATGGATTTGTAGAACGTTTTGATAGGAGTTTATTCTGTGTTGCAGACGGTTCACTACGAAGCTGCCTTTGCCAAACCCTGGTGCTCATCCTCCCATAGATGTTGTGGTGCTGGTGTATAAAGTCTTCAACAAAGACAGGTATTGAGTCACCAGCTTTCTTCTTCTTCTGCCTCGTGACCCTCAGTGGAGCCTAGTCTTTTGACCATCTCATGCCAGGCACCTATGTTTGAAGATTTGTCCATAATTGCTTGGGTTTGGCTTCTAAGATTCTGTGCGTGATGATGTACCCAGACCAGATTCAATCCTTATGTTTTTGGTTATATCTTGTTCCCTGTGTGGGTTTCTGGGGCTTCATTTGGGAGAAAAAAGAATAGAATTGCTGGTTCTTAACAAGCATGTTGTGAAAAGCTAACTGTTTGCTGAAATCAGATGTTTTGGGCTGAAAAGCGCGGATGTTGCAGCCATGCTTTAAACCGCAACACAGAATGCTTTCTGCCCTTTGCCTTCTTCCTCGATAAACGCCAAAGAAGAAACAGTTACTTTTTATGGCATGTCAGTGTTAACTGTTCTTTGCTTTACTTCTGAGTCCAAACTCCAAAACAAGGGATTGAGCCCAAAGATAAGGCAAATAATATCATGTTCTTTAGTTAAGTAGACTGTACTTTGCTGAGACAGAATTATCAAATTACTTCAGTTGTACTACAGTTAACGAGGTCATACCTACCTACTGTAGGAAATGTGTATATTATAATTTCATATTTACTCAGTCACAGCAGTATGAGGTTTGAACAACAGATCAACATCATGGCACACGGGTATTAACCCATAAGTGCTCCGTTCTTCTTCTAACTCAAATTTGAGTCCGAAGAAGCTCAGCACAGTGCACACACTGTAGCACCGGCAAGGATCCTGAAATTATTTGGGTAGATTTTCAAACTCCAAATTTTGCCCAGGAAGCGTTGTTAGGCTACTCTTTTCGATTTCCAACTGCCAATGGAGTTTTTACGTACGCATTAATGCACACGGGGGTCCAATCTCACTACCCAGAGACCAGGGGGAATTTATTAGAAGCTCAAGTCCATGTGAAAAAAACCGAGCCCTTTCCAGGGATTGAACCTGGAACCTCTAGCACTCAAGGCGGACACCATGCCTTGAGCAGTATGAGGTGGGGCAGTTAGCTGCGTCTGTTTCTTTCTTTTAGTTTTCGTCCCAGGCAATTTGCTGAAAATTGTCTAACACTCATTTTGAAAGGCTGGGACAACACCTGCTCTGTTCATTCATTTATCATGCTTTTGGGCCATCATGTGTCCCACATAAATCTCACAGTCTAAACCTCTCTTCATTGCTATCCTGTGCAGTCCTTTTCCTAGCGTGGATGGAATCGTCCAGTATCTTTGGCCTCTTCCATCAGTGTTCTCGTAGACGTTTTCCTTTCTGTCCATCTGTTTCCTATTTCAGTGATTCTTTGCTGAATCTCTGCTCATTTTTTCCCAGGATGTGCCCAGAATAATGCTAATACAAAGTGGTTGTACAGACGTTTCTCTTATTTCGTCACCCGTCTTCATTTCATCACATGTTGTCTGTTTTCTCAAGAATGCATTTAAAATGTGTTCCGTCTGCAGTGGTTCGCAGATGTGGTTTTACAGAATTCTTAGAATTTCTTGGACAGCCAAAAAAGAGCAACTTAGATGTTTTGAAAAAAGGGTGAGGGCTCAAAGACAACTTCTCACAAACATTGGAAAGAGACCGTCATCACTGTTTTGTCATGTCATGAGAAAAAAACAAACTGAAATATGTTGTGACCTCTGGAAAGATCTGTGGAAAGAGAGGCAGAGAAAGACTACGTGAGGCGATTTGTGACAGCCTTTTGTCATGACCTGGAAGAGGGTCAACACAAGAACTGATACATGCTATTGAAGATTGCCGATTGTGGAGAGGCATGATCACTCATGCAAGTCAGCAAGGCACTTGATGGTGGTGATGGTCTTTAGTGGTTCTTTGTACTAGTCTGAAAAGTATCCTGTCACTACTGGGGCCCGAATCTGGGCCATTGTTTTGGTAAGCAAGCGCAAAGACCATTGTAAGACATGGCCACTGTGTTGTAAAGGCAAATATGTCAGCTGTTGCAGACAAGCAACTCCTCTATAAGACTGTCTCATCTAGACAAATTATTTGTCTTAGGCAGATAGTCATTTCAGACATTTTACTTTCCCTCCAGCCTCAAGACCATCAAAGACAGTATACGCTATATTGATGTTCGCTATCTTGTTGGAAAATGTTTCATTTTGGCAACATCAGGTATGTTGAAACTGTTGATCACGTGTCATTATATAAACAGTCTTAAGAAGAGGAAGAGGTGGTGGTGCATAGGCAGGCTACACCATGCTTGTATTGGTCAGTTAGTTAGTTAGTCAGGATCCCAGCAGACGGGTCGTCCCAAAACTGCTCCATTCCTGTGCCAGTGAAAATCACACAAAATGTCCTTCACTGTCCTATTGAAAACTAATGAAATACTTGTCAGTCCCAGCAGAATCTTGAAGCTTGCACAAGCAAAGTAAATATGCATAAGGCAGCTGTCCCACACCAGAATTGCCGCTCACTCTTAGTGCACACAGTCAGTCACAAAAGCTGGCATTGCAGCCGCAAAAGTACATACATGCCTTTCTAAACGTAATCGGCGGCCAACTATTTTAGTGATGTCAACAACACAACAGGGAAAAAAATATTTTTCATGAAATCCACAGCGGTTTGACAGACTGGTGTAGCCAATATGTGTGTCCCAGTTATGACGTTTTTTTTTAGGTTGGACAGGCTATCTGGGGCCATCCAGATTAAGAATCCAAAATCTCTCAATGTCACTACATATGACATGCGTGGTTGGTTACAGTGTTTTTATACTTCTTTAACGTGGGCCACGCTAGCGCAGTCGATAGGAGACTCACTTTCGAATCTAACTGCGACTCACTGCAGCCCACGGCTGGTGTTTGAAACCGGGCAGTTCCTGGGGTTCACCCAGCCTCTAGGAAATGGGTACCAAAGTTAACACTCTGGTGTAAATGGAGGAACGTCGCTGTAGCTACAGAGTTTCGTGCGGACGGCGACACAGGCAGACAGTTTCTTATCAGCTGTCGGTACTGGTGGCAGAGCACTTATGGTTTACAACCGCGTGCAATAACGCTAGTTCACATCTCTCGACTTTACCTTTTTATACTTCTTTAACTCTTGTTTGCCCTGAGACATTGCAAACCTAGCATATCTTTCAGTGGCTCAACCCCATAAATGCTGCTTAACTGGCATTTATTGCCAAATGGTCAGTTGGATTCACAAGAGTGGCAAGAATTTAAAGTTGGGATTCAGGATTTTGAGATTTATGACGATGTTCTAGAGGAAGATGACTTGAATGTTTTTGAATAAATGTAGATATTTATGTCTGAAAAACTGGATTGGATTTTATACATGATATTGAAACAACTGCACAGAAAAGAATCATCATCATAATCCTGTACCACTGCGTGTTGTTGGGTCACCAGCTGCTGCTGACTCTGATCAGCTCACTCCACCTTTGGCGGTCATTTGCTGCTGACTGTCTGATCAGCTCACTCCACCTTTAGCGGTCAGTTGCTGCTGGTTGTCTGATCAGCTCCCTCCACCTTTGGCGGTCAGTTGCTGCTGGTTGTCTGATCAGCTCACTCCACCTTTGGCGGTCAGTTGCTGCTGGTTGTCTGATCAGCTCCCTCCACCTTTAGCGATCAGATATGATGGAATTCATAGTTGCATGCCTAAGGCCTGTCCAGTCAGTAAAGTTCTGTATCCAGGTCTCTCTTGGTCTGCCTCTTCTCCTCTTCAGCACCCTGTAGTATTGTTTTTGAGAGGCCATTAGATCTTACTTCATGTCCATACCATTAATTACACAGGTAAGAATAGAATGGTAGGATAAACTGCAAGCACTGTGTGACAAATAAATGGCATACCATGATGTTGATGAAATTGTCTGTCTACTTTCCAGAATCCAGATGGAAAAGGACTGGCTCGACTGCAGTTACCCTCCAGCCTGATGTCTGTCTACTGTCCTCCTATTGGAAGTGACGTGAACAGTTTGATTATCAATGCAGCTATCGCCAGAGGGTCACATCTGCTGGCAGATGCTTCGACAGCGCAGTAAATTCTGGAGTCTCGTCACAGAACTTGTGCTTTCAGATAGAAATAGAGCATCCATACCACAAGTGACAAGTTACCACAAGGGAAATACAGTTTGGCTTTGAATCGTGTTGCAGCTGGAACCATCAGTATGGGAACCATTTGTTGGCCACTGATGAAGGGGACAGGGTACAATTGGGGAAAGTCCAGAGTACAGTTGGGAATGTCCAGAGTACAACTGGGAATGTCCCAATTACAATTGGAATGTCCAGAATACAAGGAAGTCTACTTGAATACTTTCTACTGTGTGCTGCCTCACTGGAACTGAAGTCTGGTCTGCAGGTAGATTTCAGCACAACCAAGTGGCAATTCTGATCTATCTTCGCCATGTGGGTTCTGTAGCCCGATTGTATGAAGAAAAACAATTACAGACCCCCTTCCCCCCCAACAAGCATGTTCTAAAAGTAGACTAATTAAGGGTGTTTCCTTCAGAGTGCAGCTGCCTGAAAAGTGAGGAACAGTCTGCTTGCACATAAGCCAGATTTTGGGAGCGAGTAAACAGTGCGGAGGTGCAGATAGATCACTAAGGACAATGACGCTGCAAGGAGTTACCTGGGGATGTGGGCGATGTTTAACACTCAGGGAAAAGATGGGACGAATATACAACCAGACAGTTACTGGTACCATCAGGATTGGAACTCTTCGCTTGCTGCTGAAGATGGGGAGTGTCCTGAGTGCTGTGATGTTGATTCTTAATTCAACATTTAACCATCTTATTCTTCTTTGCGTTCACCAGCTGTAAATTCCGGCAGAAAATTCTGGTTGTTCGTCCACTTCTGGACTTATGTCTTGTTTCCGAACCTGAGTATTGTGTGCATTTCCATTTCACAGATCTGGCTTAGTTTTATGCAGACTATTAGTCCTTGCCTCTCAATCAGATGCACTCTGACTCCAAAGGAAGCCCCCAATTAGTCAACTCCTACCACATGCTTGTTGCGGAGGCAGTGAGTATTCTTGTTTTCTCCAAAATGGGGTCCCAGAACCCATTTGGGGAATATTTATCAGTGTCACCACATATCTGTCAGTGAGATCACACATTTATCAGCAGTCCACTCAGATCTATGAGTGATACCAGATACCACACATCTGTCAGTGAAATCACACATTCATCAGCAGTCCACTCAGATCTATGAGTGATACCACACATCTGTCAGTGAGATCACACATTCATCAGCAGTCCACTCAGATCTATGAGTGATACCAGATACCACACATCTGTCAGTGAGATCACACATTTATCAGCAGTCCACTCAGATCTATGAGTGATATCACACAGTGATGAGTGTCACCACACATCTGTCAGTGAGACCACCATTTATCAGCAGTCCACTCAGATCTGTGAGTGACACCACACATTTGTCAGTGATACCCCATATCTGTCAGTGATATCGCATATTTATCAGTCTTACCACACATCTGTCAGTGAGATCACACTTTTATCAGCCATCTCCACAGATCTATGAGTGTCACCACACATTTGTCAGTGAGATCACACATTTATAAGCAATCCCCACAGATCTATGAGTGATACCACAAAGTGATGTCACCACATATCTGTCAGTGATTTCGCATATTTATCAGTCTCACAACACATTTGTCAGTGAGATCACACTTTTATCAGCCATTCCCACACATCTATCAGTGATCCCACACATTTATCAACATTATTGTACTGCCCAACTTATAATTTCTTCACTGTAACCTCTCATGCCCATGCAAGAAGGCACATTTGGATAATCAGTGCTAACAAGTGTAGTTGGTGTCACCAGATGTTAATTGGCACTTATGGTTTGAACAACAGATCAACATCTTAGCACACAAGTAGTGCTCTGTTCTTCTAACTCAAGTATGAAGAAGCTGTGCACCAGCGAGGATCCTGAAATACTTTGGGTAGATTTGTAACTCCAATTTTTGCCGGGAAGTGCTGTTAGACTAATCTTTTCGGTTTCCAACTGTCAAGGGATTTTTTTTTGTGTGGGCAACAATACACACGGTCGTTTGATCTTACTACCCAGAGACCTGTGGGAATTACTAGAAGTTTAGGTCCACGTAAAAAAAATCCCAGCCCTACCGGGGATTGAACCCGGAACCTCTAGCACTCGAGGCGGACACCATGCCTCTAGACAACGTAGCCCCCCAACTGGCACTTATAGAACAGATAAACACATACACACAAGACAATATAATAAATTTAGAGCCACCATAGCATAGTGTCTAGATCAGGGCTTTTCAACTAAGTTTACTCTGGGGCCAAACTTTTTTAAGTGGGGAACGCTGAGGGACAGAGGTCTGAGTCCTGACGTAGAAAGATCATTTATTCAATACAACTGGTAATGATCCATGGGCCATCTGCCAGGCCAGATTTGGCACGTGGGCCGTCAGTTGAATAGCCCTGGTCTAGAAACTCACCTTCTGGGTTGAAGGACATAGGTTCAAATCCACATCAAGACAGATTATATGTCTTCCAAACTGACCTAGGCTCCCAGATTGGCCCAGTCCAAAATGAGTATTAGGAAATGTCCTATGATGTAAAATCGGGCCAGGGCTGATAAATTATTGTATGCCAATTGTCTATTAAAAGAGAAGTGTCTACTAGGATCTTATGCCTGCTCATCATCATCATCATTTTCTACTTCTGTCATTAAGCGACATGGGGAGGAGCAGTTTGCGATCCATGGCTAGATGGGCAGCAATGGCTGTTGTCAATTCATGATGATGCAGAACTTATGCCTGCTCATCATCATCATCATTTTCCACTTCTGTCGTTAAGCGACATGGAAAGGAGCAGTTTGCGATCCATTGCTAGATGGGCAGCAATGGCTGTTGTCATTTCATGTTGATGCAGATGCTCTTTATTGTCATCAATCCATTTTTTGCTAGTGCGACCTGTTGCTTTCACTTCAAATCTTTTCTTGTGTAGCACCAGTGTTGGTAGTTCTGGCTGCATTCTTTCAAGGTGACCAAACCATTGGAATCTTTGTGTGTCTCAGTGAATGTGCTGCATTGTGGTGTTCTTACATTCTGTCTGATAATTTCTAACTTAATGTCGGATGGTTAAGTTGGCGGCTTTTCTTGGGCATCTCATTTCTGCCAATTAGTGCCTTCATTATACCGCTTGCAGGGGGGCTCCTGAGGATTTACGGCCGCATGGCTAGTGCTGTCGCCACAGGACTGGTGAGGATTTTATTTTGCTTCAGACATAAAAAATCCCTAACCTTACCGATGATTTGAACCTTTCGAGCCCAGTGTTCTAACCATACGGCATCTCATTTCACAGGTGTTAATTTTACATACGTTAACCTTTGTTAATGTCCAAGTCTGGCACTGGTAGCACAGTGTTGATATTAATATGCTGTTTATAATTTCTTTCCTGGAGCTCATGTTTAGATGTCTTAATAACGGTATGCCAGAAACTGGCATAAAGATGGGTCCTTTATCAAAGGTAAAGTCAAAACCCCACTGGATTTCAACCCTTGTGTCCAAAGCTGTCCATTTCTCTAATGTCTAGTGGGTCTTCTTATTCCTCTAATAAGTGCCAATCATCTGTGTGCTATTTATTGTGCTGCTTCAAGGATTCTCCAGCGATAGATGTTGCCAGGTATTAGCTGGTGTAGCGAGTCTCTGGAAAATACTCATTGTCCTCCATGTTGTCCAGGTCTGAGAACTGCTGCAGGTGATATTTGGTGACCTGAAAATAAAGTACAATATGACATCATATCAGTTCTTATATCATATGTACATGTTTTTTCTTTACTAAAACAACACTAAAAGACCCTTCTGACGCCAGTGGTGCACTAGGCGTATTAGGCTCCTATTTTTGTAGACCGAACTGTGTTCAATGGGTCAACATTGTTCCAGTCTGTTGGCCAACTACTGTGTCCAGACCTACTGACTTACTTTACCCTGCTCTGATCTACTGCATCACTGTCTGTAAACTCCAGTGGAAAGTTCTGGTTGTTTGTCCACCTCTGGACTTAAGTCTTGTTGCAGAACCTGAGTGTTGCATGCACATCTGTTTTACGGATCTAGATTAGTTGTATACAGACTGTTGTTTCCTTGCCTATCAGACAGACGTACTTCGACTTCGCACAAAGTACCCAATTAGTCGACTCTTACCACATGCTTGTTGGGGAGACAGTGGGTCAATTCTTGTTTTCCCCACAATAGGACCACAGAACCCACATGGGAATAAACTAAATATAAGAGATGAGGCCTCACAGACAACTTCAACAATTTACAAAAGAGACGGGCACCATTTTTGGCTACATTATGAGAAGACACTGAAACATGCTATGACGACTGGAAAAAGAGATACAAGATGACAACAAGAGAAGCTTCTTGACAAGTGTTTTGTCATGGAAGGGTATCAAAACATGAACAGATATTTACTGACTTAGTTGATCCTCTTCTACCTTGGGGTTTAGAGGTTTGCCAGACTTCTCTGTCAGTAGTTTTTGTGTGTGTGTGGCTTTGTTCCATTGCAGTCCTCTTTCTGTCAGATGTGTCTTCCCAGCGATTCCTGGGTCACCTAAGTGGTTTGGTTCCCTGGTTCTTGGCCTGACTTGGTAGCTGATTCTCTGCATACATGTCCAATCACAATAACTGACAGATCCCCTCAAGTTTGTAAGGCCTGGGTTTTAGGATCATGACGTATTTGTCTGACTGCAAACTTTGTCCCTTTTTGCCACTTGGACCACCTTTCTGACACATCTCATTTCTAAGGCCTAAAGCTGGCTTCAGTGAGCTATCATTGCCACTCACACCCATAGGTCAGAACTGGCACATAGGTAGAGCGATGTACAGCCATTTTTGTCCTCTCGCTAATTTCTCTTTTGCTGAGATCCTCTCGGTTTATGGCTAGGAAAAGTCTCCCAGCTGCTACTTTTCAGTCAACTGTGACAAAATGCCTCCATTAATATACACATACCTGGTAATTAACCATTGCTCGAATGGCAAAGTAGCCAACAATGACTTCCAGTCCCACAAAGATGGCCATCAGGATGTGTAGCGCCCTCTCTAGTGGCAGCAACAATGCGTTATCATTGATGTTCAACAACAGAATCAGTGGGAAAGTCAGGAGAAGAGTCAAAAGCCAGCTGCCGGCGAGTTCTGGAACCTGAAAGAAAATATGAAAATATCCAAATCAGAAGCAGAATTAGTCAGCCTCCTAATAATATACGGTCACAGATCTTGTGCGTGCTCTTTCTAATGCATAAGTTTAGTTTATCTCATTTCTTTAAGGTTGTTTTTGCTGTTGTCAATCCATAATTTTATGGTCTTCCCCTTGTTATGCATTCACTGTAGTTCTTCGGTGTGACTCTCCATGGCAGGAAGTACCAGCGAATTCTCATCAGATAGCCAAACCATCTCATCTGTTGCTTTTTTATTGAACTGTATGATTATTTCAGTCCTAGTCTATTCACTACTTCATTTTAAATTGTAACTCTTTTTGTTACTCTGGCAGCTCGTCTAAGATGTCTCACGTAACAATTTTTTTTCTCATTAGTTGTAGATACTTACATCCTCCAATGAACGTAAAATTGTGGCAAGAGAGATGAAATGCCTTAGAAGAGCAGCAGGAGTTTTCAGATAAGACAGAATACGAAATAAGACAAATGCTAGGAATAAAGCCAGTCCTACAAGTCATCAAAGAACAACAAATAAAGTGGTTTGGACACCTCACAAGAATGCCCTGGTACTATATCTGCCACAGCGAGCCACACTAAAACATTACAACGGGTATAGAGCGAGTGAAATACCTCGGAAAATATGGAGTGATGGCATTAAGAACAGCCTTACAGAAATCTCCCCCCAACATTTCTTTGATGTACCACTTTTTCTTCTTCATTATCACCTTGTACATCAAAGACCAATTGTGCAACCCATAAATATATTCTCAACCTCAACAATCAGCAGACCCACTACAAAATGTTTGCTTCCATCATAGCACTTCTGAAAGTCGCTCTTTCTCAAACCAATTCTGCAGCACTATATGCTTTCATAGCCAACGCATCTTCAATGTGTTGTGTCCGCTATTGCAGAAGTCAGCCTCTGCGTCGTTTTCCAGAAATAATCTCCTCATCACTGTTCTGTACAGGCCACCACGACTTTTAAAATGGCCAAAATACTTCAACTTTCAAGACAGGATGCTGTTTATGAGCCAGTTCTCAGATTACATAGGAAAATTCAGGCTACTGTTTTTAAACGAAATACCCTGGGCAGGAGAGTGCATGAGGCAGGAGAGGGGGCTAAATGTTTTTCAAACGTGCTGTAATGGGAGTGATTTTCTGTAAAAAACCTGCTACAATAGTAGTTCTCAATTATTTATCCGTGGAACAAGTTTGACGAGTTCAGGGTATTATGCACCAAAAACAAACCTCAATTTTCGGGGGGGGGGGGGGGGGGGGGGGATTTAAACATACTTTTTTTTATACGACTAAGTATGATCTGTGTGGTAGAACGAAAATAAGGTCTTATCTAATTGCGGGTTTGTATTCTCTTTCTTCTTCTATGTTTGTTCACCGGCTGTAAGTTCCGGCGTAAAGTCCTGGTTGTTCATCGATTTTGGCTTTACGCCAGGGCCTTAGTTTTGCATGTACACATGTTTTACTGGCTTATTTGTGTGCATCTGGTTGTTCCTTGCCGCTATGGCAGATGCACCCCAACCTCGAAGGAAGCCCCCAGTTAGCGGACTCTTATGACATGTTTGTTGGGGAAGCAGAGTGTCTGTCTATTCTTGTTCCCCCCATTATAGGGCCCTGGAGCCCTTACATGGAAGGTCTTTTCAAACTATGAACCACTGTGCTACAAGACAATGATGTCTGTTTTAAAAAGTTGTTTAAAAACTAACAGACCTACCCTTTCCATGAGGTTTCCCAGATAGCCAAGATAAAGACGAACAACTTCAATGATGAAGTACACAACGTAGATGGCAACAAGAACTATCCGATACAAATCAATCAGTCTCTCCCACTGAAATATTATCAATTTGATTAGGCAGAAGAAGGATACATTTTTAGCAATTCAAAATAATTTACATATTATTTAAATGACTGATCCAGATTCAATCCCTGTGATGCGGGATTCCCTTTTCTGACTAATATAAATTGAAAATTAAGGTTAAAGTTGATAGGACTGACTTCCGTGCAGCAGGTTATTCCATGAAGCCCAGCCTCTCTCCACAGAATGGTTAGCTTTAGAAGAGTATCCCACGAAGTACAAAATCCGTAGCTCCAACGATGATGAGCAGAAATCCCTGTAAAAACTCCACTCGTGAAATTAACACTGCATTTGTGAAATGAATCCACGACTTTTAAAGTGTATGACAAACAGCCTGACCTCGTCGCCATGAAGACAAATACAGATTTGGAATTATTGCAGCCTCATTACTAAAACCAGATCATTTTAAGAAATTCCTAGGAATGGAAACATCAAGCCATTATGCAGTTACCCTGATTACATAGGTTTGACTGTTGGTCCAACGATCTTAGCTTTGATTCTGCACCAGGACATATTTTAAAAAATGACCTTGGCTTACAGGGTGAATCAGGTACCATGAAATGTCCTGGGAAGTAAAGGTAACTGGCAGAATGCTGACCACATCACCCATTGAATGCCAGCTAATCTGTAAAAACTGAGTCTTGGACCATTTGCCTGAATAAATGGAAAAATCCGTTACTATATCTTTACAGAACACACGAGAACCTAAGACTCTGGCCTCAATGACAGCATCTGTAATAGGTTTACCTTTACTCTTTCGCCGAGCGAATGTTAAATTAAATTGGACATAAAGTGGTGAGAAATCCTGAAACAAAATGTTTTAAAAGAAAAACCCATTTTACATAGGTAACTAATAAATGTTAGTACAATTAATTTACCTACACTTTAAAATTTTCTTTTCAAAACAAATAAAGGTGTTTCAATAAACATGAACAGAAGGAAGCGGTAAATATAATACATTTGGAATGGCCTAAAAAAAATAACATGTATCTGGTGTCTCATGCCATGAACCTGTGACCTGTATTACTGAGACTTATGGGAAAATTGGACATGGCTTTAAAAAAGCCATTGGGATCATAAGGACCTGGCCTATTAAACATTGGGCTCCCATTGTTCCAGAGCCCCATTTTTTGTTCATCCATCAATTGTCTGGGTACTCACCTGGAGCACACTTTTTTTAATTGTAATCGAATGCATTATGTTTTATGCTGAACCATGTGAGCATCCTATTGCAGCTGCTACAAAGTCAACCGTCACTCGCCTGTCACCTCTAATCTCCTCCTCCACCTGCTGCATGGATGCATCTGTTGCAATCTCAACAGGACGACCAGATCGAAATTCATCAACAATTTTAGAGCGTCCTTGAGAATTTTTTTTTTTTACACAGCGATGCACCGCTTTATGAGATTAACATTTATCAGCATAAACAGGAAGCCTTTCCTAATGAATGTCCTTTGCAGGCAACCCTTTTGACCAAAGCCCCCCCCCCCCCCTAAAAAAAACCGCACAACAGCACGTTGTTTTTTGAGGGTTCACTACACAAGTACAGTCACCATTTTGTTTCTGTGTTGTGAATGCGCATGCAACACCTAGTGCCACCTAACGAAGGGAGACAAAGTTCAATGTTGCTGTCACCCAATGACACTTTTAGAAACCACCAACTACATTTTCCTGCCATCCCATAACCATTTGTGACTTACTTATTGACTTCCCCTTGTACATCACTCTCTTACAGCAGCATTTTCTCTTCTTCCTCCTCTTTTTCTGTCATTTATTCCCCAGTTGAGCATAGACTTTCTTAAGTATTCTAATCTTTTGCTATCACATGTCTTTCACCCCATATCTTTCCGATATTTTTTAACTTCGTTCTTTATTTTCACCTTCTCTGTTTTTTTTTTTTTGGGTCTACCTTGCTGGACTGATCCCACATGTGTGTGTGTGTCGTGTTCTATAACCAGCGGAAAGCTGTAGTGACCGCCTCCACCTCCATTCTTAAGCTGGATGTTGCTGGACTGACCCCACATGTGTGTGTACACTACAACTGTACAAGGCAGAGGTGATCTTTTACCTGTGGAGCTAGGTAACAAGTAAAATGGAAGAAGGAAGCTGTTGAAAACATACCTAGAGAGAATGTTGCAGCAGGGAGTATCTGTGGGCTTTGGGCGCCACTTTAGATGCAAGGAGGGGGTCAAGATGAGTAGTTAACCAGATGACAACAAGTACAATCAGTAAGGGGACTGTTGATGTGCTTGTCCTGAATGCTGTGACCTAAAATCACTACCCAGATGAACTACCCTAATTCCTTTCACCATGTAGTTTCCATTGCAGGAACACTAGTTATTATCAGGTTTTCTCACTATGTACCCTATAAAAGCAAATTCTCTAAAGTATCTTGAGCCCATTTGATAAGGCTTGGTCTACCACAGAGTAGTCTGTAAAACCCTACCACTCCTGACAATCGAACCTAGACCATTGTTTCAGCAGCAAGCAAACTAACTGCTACACCACCATAACTCTCATCTTAGACACCAATAGTTTTTGCAGAAATTCTCAGCCCTGTGCTGGGATTCAAACATCGCACCTCATAAGCCTGTACACAATAATTCTCCAAGCCTTCCCCTAAAGAGCTGATTGGGTTTAGTTGATTCGAGAACTGACATCACAGCACTCAGGGCATTCCCATAAGCACTCCGTCCCCATCTTCAGCAGCCAGTGAAGAGTTCCCCTAAAGAGCTGATAACATCTACAATGTATGGACTAAACTAGTGGAACATGAAGTTAACCTAACTAAATGGCCAGTGAGTCAAGCATGGCAAACATGTCTATGCAGTCTTTGAGGTCATGACAGAAGAAATTCGAAACAATTTTGTATGGAAACAGTCAATAGAAGTATACTGAGATGGCTGATCATCAGAGGATTGAGTTCATAATGGAAATGCCCGATGTGCACTGATGTCAGTCATAATAATATAACATTATATGGCTATCCTCCGAATAATGGTCCCAAATTATCGAGGCCAAAAATATACCCTAACAGGGCCTCAGTCACATGTAAATTGAGGACTTTCGGCGACTTAAATTGCGGACTTCTGGCGACTACCACCACCGCCGAGAGTATCTTCGGAGCGGGGCTAAACTAGATGGCTAGGACTCATGAGCAGCAGTTACCGCATCCCCTGCAGCTTCCTTCATTTTATTTCCTCATGAGTCCCAGCCATCTAGTTTAGCCCCACTCCGTGCTGCGCGTAGCGGCGCAAGAGATACTCCCCACCGTGGCGTTGGTCGCCGGAAGTTCGTAATAACATGTAACTGAGGCCCTGTTAGGGTATATTTTCAGCCTCGATAATTTCGGACAGTTTTTTTGGAGGATAGCCCATTACATATATGTAACACTATCCAGCAACTGTAGTGAAGAAAACTACTGGACAACAAAAAGTTACCTTCAGATCCAAAATGACAAGAGAGCCAATGAACCAAAATGGGAAGTAAAAGCAATTAAAATACAACAACATCTGCAGGGGAAGGTTGGTCACATATTCTTGATCTGCAAGTACAAAAGCAGTCTCTTAAATTGCAAACTCATAGAAGGAAATCTGCAATGTGATTTCAAGCCACTTAGGCAGATCTTTAAATATGCCAATAAATGGTTGTAGGAGCCAAAGTAGCACATGACTAGACAATTAACTGGCATGCTCAGGTTTTTTTTCTGGTAGTACTTGCACCTTTTTTTTTCTCTTCATCAACATCATGTTGCAGGTTCTTTGCAGAATGTTGCTCTCATCTTGGTCTGCCTGAAAGTAACTCCTCCTGCCAGCTCACTGCAAACTACACTTTCATATCCAAGGAGTCACTTACATCCTGTGCCCATCTTTGTGCTGGTCAGCTCCTGCTCCTCCTTACTGGTACCATAGCTTCTGCTATCATTTTTGGCTTTCCTGTCAACTACGGCCGGTAGACAACAGTAGACGACCGGTTAGTCGGAGTTCTGTCCCCTGGCTGCAGTGCAATTACGGACTGGACAGGAGGAAACGAAACAAATGACATAATTACTGTGTGTTGGCGTTAGACAGCGTGCACTGCCCTGCTATAATCATACGGTTAGGGTTTGGTTTAGGGTTAGGGGTAGGGTTTGGGTTAGGTGTAGGGTTTGGGTTAGGGGTAGGGTGTGGGTTAGGTTTAGTGTTAGGGTTAGGGTGTGGGTTAGGGTTACGGGTAGTGTCGCTGCATCTCGTCGTCGCACAAACTCAAAGTAGCAGCCCAAACCCTAAACCTAACCCAAACCATATGATGACAGTAGGGCACTGCACGCTGTCTATTGCCAACACACAGTAAGTGTGTCACCTGTATCATTCCCTCTAATCCACTCCGTAATGCGTCGCAAGAAGCGGTAATTGAACGCGGTCGCTAATGTGAGTCGCAGCGCAGTGTCTGCTAGGCATGTCGACCTCACTTTGTGGTCTGATTCGTGCAGTCTCCAGTCCGTAATTGCACTGCAGCCAGGGGACAGAACTCCGACTAACCGGCCGTCTACTGTTGTCTACCGGCCGTAGTTGACAGGAGAGCCCCCCCCCCCCCCCCCCCCCCCCCGTGGGACTTGGTATGGCCAAAATATTTTTTGGGCATCATTTTGCCACTGCTACAATATGCATTGTGTGGTGAGTACAGGTTTTTTTTTTAAACAAAACTTTGTAGTGAGTTCCGGAACCCTTTGTTTCCTTCCCGTTACAGTGGAACTCCAATATTTGTCTATGTCAATATACGTTTTTTTTCACAATTCTAGACTCTGGTCTTGTTCCTGAGGTAATAAGGAATCACATTTTACTAGTAGTAGTTATACTACAAATATTCTGTTCAACCTTTCTTAATTATAATTACGATAAATGCCTCATATGGGTTTTGTGGTACCATTTTGTAGAGAAAGAAAGAATATTCCCACCCCCCCCCCCCCCCCCCCCACAACAACAAACAGTGTCAGAATAATTATGGATGTTTCCTTTGAAGACAAAATGTATCTCCCCGAAAAGCAAGAAGCCAACAGTCTGCATATACATAACCCAGATTTGTAAAACGTGTTTGCACGCAAAACTCGCGTTGTGGAAAAAGTTTAGAAGTTCAGAAATTGGCGAACAACCACAACTTTCTACCGTAGTTTCAACTACTGGCTGGCACTGGTGAGCGCGAAGAAATAAGTGACTGAAGAAACATGAATTTTAAAAATTAAACAGCATTTTGTTAAATTGTTTGCTCTCATTAAATAGTTTGTAATGACAGTCGAGTACTTTTCCAAATAATATGCTGTTTTAATTCGTCTCTAGATTTATGCACTGGAAACAAGAGGTCAGTTACAGACGTCATGGTCCGTCGAAATGTTGTGTCCATCCTGCCCAACGTGGCGTCCATTTTGTCAACTGCTGTCACGTGACATCAACAATAGCAAAACCAGTGGAAACAAGAGAAATAAACCGAATACTTTTCTCTCCGAAACTGGAACTCTTAGCTGGCTGCTTAAAATGAGGACGGGGTGGTTACGGAAATGTCTCGAGTGTGGCGATATCAGTTCTTAGCACACTCTTTTCTGTCCGAATAAGCTTCACTGTGTCTTTTTAGACGTCTTCTTTTTTGTTATTTGTGATTTAGAGAAGAATCCTTACAGTTCCCTGGACAGCCAAAATTAGTTAGTCTTTCCTCTTGAGAAAAGGCAAATTCATCATCATCGTGTAGCAGGTCCTTTTCAGAACGTCGTTCTCATCACGGTCTACGTAAAAGAAACAGTCTCTCGCCAGCTCTACCGCCTCATGCACTTTTATACTTAAGGAGTCACTTATATCCTGTGCCCATCTTCGTGTCGGTCGGCCCCTGCTCTTCCTTCCTGGTACCATGTCTTCTGCTATAATTTTTTTTTTGTTTCAAATCCGTCGTGGCGCTTGATGTGACCAAACTATTTCAGCTTCCGAGACAGGATGCTGTTTCTTAGCCAATCTTCTTTGATGTTTAGATCTTTCAAGATGTCAGTATTTCTCCCCTTCTTTGTCCAAGATATTCTGAGAACCTTTCTATAAAGACAAACTACTAGACGTAAATTTGCCTAGAAAAACCACAACAGCAACAAAACAAATGCTGGGGTAGTTCTGCGATTCCTGTAAAGGATACGCAACTAACTAACTTTCCTCTTGAGCCTAGGGTGGCGTATAAGGCAGAGGTCATAGCTCTTCAATTCTGGCGCTTCGTTGCCACCTGCCCTTTCGGTCTTGTGTTTGTCAGGCCCATTGTTAAGCCTTTCCTGATGATTGTTCTACGTAGGGTCTCTTTTTGTCTTCCCTTCTTTCTTTTACCTTTAGGTGTCCAAATGAGGGCTTGATGTGGTCTTATCCATTCAGAGTGCATGGCCAATATAGTTCCAGTGGCGCTTTAAAAAAAAATTGGATACATTATCTTGCTTGGTCTCTTGTCTTATTTGCTTATTGGATCTGAAACATTTCCAGTGGAAATTTAGTATTCTTCTAAGACATTTGTTCTCAAAATTGTCTTTGTGTGTGTGTGTGTGTGTGCGCGCGCGCGCGCGCGCGTGTGCGTGTGTGTGTGTGTGTGCGCGCGCGCGCGCGCGTGTGTGTGTGTGTGTGTGTTCTTATCTAGAGCGACCGTTGCTTTCAATATCTCGCAAAATGAGTAATCGCGATGTTTTAGAAGAGGCGATGGCCCGAAGACAACTTATGACGAACATCAGAAGGAGATAGTCATTACTGTTTTGTTCATGCTATGAGAAGAGGGAAACTGAAAAGTTGAATTTCCTGAGTGCAATGCTCTCTATTCCCATTTGCTATATACGCCATTTTTTAGTTAGTTAGTTAGTTAGTTGGGTTATCGTCATTGCACTCCGGACATGTCCATAGGTGCTCAGATCCTCCCCTCAGTATGAACCCCAACGTCCGATGGCTAATAGTACCAGTTCTATGTTGATTAACAAGTCTTCTGACGTGTCCGGTGTGCGTCTCGTTTTTTGCTGTGCCGATCTTAATTCCCAAGTCTGCCATTCTGGCGAGTGATGTGGATTCACTGCCACCAAAGTCCTCTATCCTTCCCATTTCTCTGAGGGCATTGATAATATCAGCATGATCCATAGGCCGACCGTCGGTAGTGATAGCGGAACCAGCCAACCTGTCAGCTCTTTCATTTCCATCGACGCCTGCGTGTCCCGGAACAAAAATAAAGGTGACTCCACGGACAGTGGACTTCTGTAATGATTCAAGCCATTGTCTTCGCACTGAACCTGCCTGAACCCTCCGGATCATACTCATTGAATCACTGAGTATACATATGCGGGTGTATTTTTGTGTTTCAAGCCAGGCAAACGCTTGCGTCACTGCCATCACCTCCATCGTCATGCTGCTGGTTGTCATGGAGAAGGCACAGTTGGCTTCTTTGACTGTTCTGCCCGCTGAGCGTGCTGTAAATGCCCATGCGCTTCTTCTTTGGCGTATGACGGATCCGTCTGTGTAGATTAGTGCATCTGCTTCGTCTGAATTTTCACCGATGAGAGCGTTGACCTCTGCATTAACAGCAACACAGGATTCTCTTCTCTACATCGCCTGTTGAGTGTGACAATACAGGAAAATGTACAAATAAACGCCTGAGGCACAGGTATCCATTCTGCACCAGGTATGATGTCGGTTAGGCTGCATATTTGCCTAATAACATCTTCTGCCCGACCTAGCCACGATTTTCCCCTCTTCAGTCTGTCGCCCTTTTCACTAAAAAGCGCTTGATGCAGTGGGTGTTTCTTATCAGCACATATTTTGAGGTATGCCCGAGCCCTCCACATTCTGATCCTTTGGTTCATTGTTGGAAAGTCAAGTAGATACCTCATTGCTTCACAGGATGTATCTCTTGTACATCCCAAAATAATGCGCATGGCTTCATTTTGCACCTTTTCGAGTCTTTCAATCTGGGTAGCACTGACAGTGAGGATGGCCAGAGCGTATTCAATGGGTGAAAGGACCAGACCGTAGAATATAAGTATTAGTAGTCTTTGCTCGATATTGGAAGCAGCCATAATCCTCATTGCAGATAGACCTTTGCGTGCTTTTGTTATCACATGGTCAACGTGTTCCCTGAATGACAAGCTGCGATCGAACCTCACCCCGAGAAACGTCATAACGTTGGTTCTGATCAATATATTATCACGCATTTTCACTTCTGGTAAGTCCGACTTGACAATGTGATTGTTCAAAGAGAACCATGACACTGATGCCTTCGAAGGATTGACATAGGCATTGGAACCATCACACCAGGCGGCAATTCGATCGAGTTCTTTGTGCATTGTGCTGGCGATCTCCTGTCTATCACGCCCTCGTCGATAAATCAAAATGTCATCAGCAAATGACAAAGTACTTCCCTTTCCATTCAACTGCTGCTCAGTGATCATCACCGTATAAACGTTGAATAAGACTGGTGATAGCGGTGATCCCTGTGGCAAGCCTGGACATATCGTTTGCGATTCTGAGGACCAGCTACCACATCTTAGTACAATCTTTCTCTGGAACAGGACCGCAGCAATCCAGCGGATCAGAATAGGATTGACTTCTAGTTTAAGCAGTAATTGCATTAAATATTCGTATGGTACTTTATTGTAGGCATCTTCTAAGTCCAACACTGCCGCACATGTCTCTTCTTTAATCTGAAATCCCTCGTACACATCGTAGGCGAAAACAGCAGCATTGAACCATGTCTCTTTCTTCAACCTGTACCCTCCAAGTGTTGATGGGAACTTATCATGTAGTTCCAAGTAGGTGGTCAATCTTTGTGCGACAATTTTTTCCAAAAGTTTGCCAACAGTATTCTGCATCGAGATGATTCTGTAGCCGCAGATCTTTGAGTGGTCTTTATTAGGCTTTGGTAGTGGGAACAAATAACTATGGAGCCATTCCTCTTGTATCTGGCCACTCTGGATGCTGATATTGAATTTCTTTGCCACGCTTTTCAAATCAGCATTCGACATCATCAGCATGTCATTGTATCGGAGGCCGTCAGGGCCTGGAGCAGTGCTGCGCGATTTCTTGAGGCAAGTTCTTAAGGTGTCTGCAGTGATTGTGAAATCAGTGCCTAGCTCAGTGTTCTCGCACAGCATCGACAGTTTCATCTTAACCCCTATTCTTGCAGCTTCGTCTTTTTGGTCAGTTTGCTCCAAGTAGCGCGCAAGAAGGGTTTTTCCTTTATCAGCATCAGTTCTCTGCCATATCAGGTCTGTACCCTGAAAATCAGGGATACCCCTTGGTCGTGCGGCGCCGTGCATGCTCCGTTGAAGGCGCCAGAATGTCACAAGAGATCCCTCGGAGCAAACGCTCTTGCAGAATTCGTTCCATTTCGCTGTCTTGGCTTCTTTGGCAATTAACTTGAAAGCCACTGTCCGCTTGTTAACCTCATCTTTTAGACTGATCAGGCGTTCAGAAAGTGACGGATCAATTTTCCTTGCCTTTTGCCATACCTTGACAGCGTTCCTTTTTTCTAGCCACGCCATGTTGACTACCTCATTCCACCATGGTGGCTGGGCCCATCTCTCCCGCCGTCTGCGATCTGCTCTTTTTTTTACGTCGTCTGATTTTGCTAATGGCATCTTGCCCTGTACGGTCATATAGAAAAGCAGGCACATTGATTACATGACCTTTGTTGTTGCTCTTCTCCACCAGGACGACGCAAGGAAAGTGATCACTGTCATGGTATCCCAGTGTGCTCCACCTGCATCCTGATGCAATGGAGGGAGACACTAGGGCCAGGTCAATTACGCTGTCAGAATCCCCTTGTCGGGTTGCCATTCGGGTAACCTTTCCGTCGTTCAAGCATACTAGATCGGCAGACACTAGGGCATCCTCCAGGTCTTCCCCCTGTTTATTGGTGATTACATTGCCCCACTGGTTTCCTCTGGCGTTGAAATCTCCGCAGTAAAGGACTTTCTTTTCCTCCGTCTGGAGCAAACTCTGCCATTTCGCTGTATCCACCTTTCCATTGCAGGCGTGCACATTGACAATCACAAACTGGGCCGGGCCCAACACTCTGACTGCGTGTACTTGTAGGTCGTCATTATCCCACTCAGACATGTCCACCTCAGACACCGGTATGTTGTCACGAACAAGAATGAGCTGTCCGAGATGCCGTCTATTGTAGAAGGATTGGAAGCCCGCAATTTTAACGATCTCGTCACCGAGGTGTGTTTCCCGTAGGACAACAATGTCGTTGCTGTAGAGGAGCTTCTCAAAAATGGGTCGTCGTTGACTGAACGAAGGGCAGTTCCAGTAGAGAACGCGAACATATTTTAAGCTGAGTCTCTCACATTTCAGTCGCTTCCTGCAGGCGCCACCATG